AAAACTATATTGGAGTATTTAAACTTAATTGTTACACCATCTTATAATATTCCAACTATACCAACAATAACAAATAAATGGCCCGAATACTAAGAAGACCACATTTTAAATTTGAAAGAAGTAACATAATTAACTCAAAACACTTTTTTGCCTCCCAAAAAACCTTCCACCGAGGAAATTATAAAAACAGAAATAAAATTTCAATCGTGTAATATCGACATTATAAATCACATAATTCAGAATGAAGTACAGATGGTAAATTTATGTGGAATGACATTTTCACAATTTTATTCTTTTTGTGATTTACTAAATTCAACAAATTGTCAATTTAGAGGAAATAAATCTATTAAGAAATGTTATTTTCTACCACTAAACACTCACAACAGAAACAATCACAAAAACAGAATATTCTCATTCAATCACTGATTTTTATGGTTTTAGTTTATTTAAAAATGGGTGTTAATTTTAAAACTTTGTTTATGTTGTTAAACATCGAACAATTCAAAAGTATGAGTAAACAAAAAGAAGATGAGACTAATGATAAATACAGAAAGTGTGTCGACAAAAGAATGTCAGGTTTTATTGGATACCAATTCAGGACTTGTATGTTGTATTTCACAAAAATTTGCCAACGGACTTTCATTGACTTAGTAAAAAACAATCCCGATGTAAATATTCCATTTGCAGTTGGCAGACCTTTTGGACAATTGAAAAGGTTTCCTTGGGCACTCAACACTTACACAGCAATTGATACAATGTTACACTGCATCAGAAGTGAAACCATCAAATCTTTGAATTTTAAAGGAGATGAAATCAATAGAAGGGATAGATGTAACTATAACGTGAAAGTAAACAAATCATGTAAAAAAATCGAGGTTGTAGTTAATTCACTTGGCTTTATTGTATCCTATAACATTGCCGAAGGTTTAGTTGTTGATCAGAAATTACATGCAAGTTCAAGAGAGTCTTATTGTGATGTAGGTCATGCTTCATTGGGCGATTTGGTTTATTTCAAAAAAGACCAAATATACATGCACACTCCATTAAAAAATGTCAAAAAATGAAAGAAGAGAAAAAGGAAAAGGCTCTTGATTATAACCATTCACATTCGGCATACAGAAACATAGTAGAACACACATTTGGGAGGTTACACAATTTTTTTCGTTTTTTCAGGGTGACTTATGAAAATGATCCGAGTTTATATCAAAGTTTTGTAACTTTTGCTTTATCAATGTATAACTATCTGTTACCTTATCAACCTTTACACAAAACAAAAACAACAAGCCAAGAAGTTGTCGAAGAAGAACAACAAAATGAATTAGATGATAAATTAGAAAAAGTCCTTAATTCATTCGAACCAAAAAATGGAATAACAGAAGTCAGTAATTGTTTTGATAAGTATTTAAAGTGTGAAAAAGAAGTTTGTGGTCAAATCGAAACGAAAAACAAAGATGATTATGTGATTGATGTTGCTGACAATTGCACTAATTATACTAGTTTCGGTTTTGATACTGAAAAAGATGTTATTTCTTTGATATCACAAAAAAATGTATGAAAAAGTTGGTAAATCACACGACATAAGTGCTTCAGAAAATGTCAAAAATAACACATGTACACATTTAATGGATGATGAAAAACGGTTTTTAAAAGAAGACACAAGTTTTAAAGATACGATAACTTATAGTAATTTAGAAGAATTACAAACTAGTTGTTTTCCAGATCAACAAAATGTTGTTAAAAAATGCTTTCCGATAAAGATCTCACTGATTACTTGAAAGATGTTGTTAGTGTAAATAACTTAACAAATGTTTGGATTGCAGATACTTTTTTCTTTGATGTTACCTATAAGGTATTTGAGGAACCAAATAACTTTAATCGCAAACTTGAATATTTTGGCTGTGTTAAAAAAGCAGACAAATTGTTATTTCCTGTTTTTGTACCTCCAAGAGAACATGGGCATTGGTTTCTAATGGTTCTAGAAAAGAAAAACGACAATGTTTTTATATGCAGTGTATTGGATAGCTTAAATACTTGGAATGAGCAATTGGTTGCAAATAAAATATCAAAAATGAAAATTTTTTTAACTGGAATTGATTTTGGTAAAAGTGTTATTCAAATTGTTGATATAAATTATGTTAGTGTACCACAACAAACAAATGGATTTGATTGTGGAAGATTTTTTGTCTACTTTATTAAGAAAATATTGGAGAATAAATTCAACACTGTGGAAATGATTGCAAAAGATTTTGAATTTAATGAAGCTCAATTTTTTTTGATAAAAGTAATTAATTTTTTATTATATGTTATTTGGTTAAAAAAGAAATAAATGCCGATTTACAAATAAAAATAATTAATTCGACCCAAAAGATCTTAAGATCTTTTGAGTATTGACAATCTCGAGGGTCGCCTTTTTAATATATATATATAGAGGGCGAAAAAAACCGCTGGGATCTAAGAACTCGCATTGTTTGGTAAAAGTTAAAATTTCAATAAAAAACAAAAACGTCACAAACGTTGTATAATTGAGTATTGACATAAAAGTTGTTTTTGCCTTCGATACAATATTTATTGTTTTAACAATTTTTTGTTTATTTTTTTCCTGTTATTTCAGAACATTTATTACTGTAAAACAAAAAAATGACTGTTTTAAATAACGGTCACAATTTATTCAAAAATACAAGCAAGCACTAATTTAATTGTAAAATAACTATAATATTACTTTTATAAATCCAATTATGTCTCTTCCAACAATATTAATCAGGCTCATATTACTTGAGCAGTCCTCTTTTTGAACTATCCCATTTTAATTTCTTTGTGTTTCATGTAGTTGGTTATCTATCGAGTGTTCACGTTCATAAAATGTCAAAATCACTATAATACTAATTAAACATTAAACTTCAAGAAAAACATTAAAAGTGTAGTTATTTGAACACATATAAAACAAAAATACCCGATAATGAGACAAAGAGTCAGATGTTCAAAGCATCTTGTAAATTGTAGTTAAATAATTAACCAAACGATGTCTGTTGCTGTTTGAACGATAATAATTATTGTTTGTTAAAAATTGAAATGATGTAGTAAGATATTATACATTAATAATGATAAAATGTGAACATATACCTTAATTCATTTTCAATTGTTGTTTGTGATCAAAAGTTTTCTGTCAAAGTTTAAATAAAAAATAATAAAAATATAATTAAATGTGGAAAGCAGTTTTAAAATAGTACAGTGAAAATACGTCTGAAAATGATGGGAAATAGTTTAAAATGACAGATTTTATTTTAAAAGGACAAGATTTTTAATAAAAAAATGAAAATCATAAAAGTGATGGAGAATTGTTTTAAAAAGGACAGGTATTTTTATTGAAAAAACAGGATTTTTGATAAAAAGGACGAATTTCAAAAGAAATGATGATTTTCATGAAAAAGGACAAGAATTTATTATAAAAAGGATGGGATTTTTGTTAAAAATATGGATTTCAAGAAAATATGACAGCCATTTTTTTTAAAAAAAGGATAACATTTTTAACAAAAAGATCGATTTTTAATAAAATATAATTTATTTCCGACGTTTCCCGGTTTTACACACAAAACACAAACAATTTGTAATTACAAGTCTTTTTTATATGCTTTTGCCCAAATTTCATTGCGACATTTCTCCATAGACGCTATTACTTCAGCCGGTTGAATTGAAATAAATCCATCTTTGATTTTTTCAAGAAGATCGCCAAGGCCAGTTCAAATACGTATGTCATTTTATACACTCCTTTTCCAAACCCCCAAAACAGTTTCGATTGGGTTGAGTTCAAGACTGTAAGCTGTATTATAAACAACTGAATGACGAGTGTTAGTTACGAGTTCCCTCAAATGGTTGTGTATAGTACAATTGTCACACCAAAACACTGCTGAAATGTTGTTGTCGTCATAGTGTTTCATCAATTCCATAAAATATCTATTAAAGACCTTTTCATCACTTTTTTCCTGCAACCAAAAAAGTTGTTCCCATTCCTGTGTAGTCTATTAAACAAAAAGCAGATAGTCTTTGTCCGTTTTTTGCCTTTGTCACGAAGAGTTTTTCACCAATTGGACTCCATCCGTAAACCGCAGTGTAAGCAATACGGCACGATGATTCATCAATG